CCCCAGGCCCCCCATTTTCAGGGAGAACTTCCTATACTCACAGCAGCTGCAAGGAAGGCAGATGGGAAAACATTCGGTCCTTGATCTCGGAGAACGTTCCATTTACCAGGCTCCTACAGGCAAAAGAGGAACAAAACGAGGCCTGGGTAGTCTGAGAAGTGCTGGGCAGGATGGGCAATCAGCCTTACACTCCACCTGTACTTCAAACGCCTCCACTCCCGGATGAGCCTTAAACAGCTGGCCAGGGGCTTCTCGGGGCAGGAACCAGAGGAGTCAAGTTCATGTTTCAATGAACTGGATCAATATGAAAACTAGTCTGAATAACAGAAACCTTTACCATCAGTCTAGCTCCTTCCACAGACGTTCTCTCCACCAGTTTAAATCAATTCCCACCCCTGCTTCCTCTCTACTACAGGAAGCCCTGGCTGCAAATGGATGATTACTCCACCTCTGCCCATGATTCTGTTTGTGTAGACACAGCGTTAATGTTGGCCGACGAAACTCCAGGGTAGGATTAAGCATTCCCCTTGGGAGCCCATCTCTGAAAGACACTCAGAGCACTTCTGATTAAATGCACTTGTGAAAGCCTTGGGGAAAACTCAGAGACACCTGAACTTGAATGTGCAGTGGGAGGCAATGCCATCTGCCAGATTTAACGGTCAACCTGGGTGCAGGAAGCTTGGCTCTATTACTGCACCAGGTCCCCCATCCTTTCTGCCCTCAGCAGGACCTCAACACATGATTTCAGAATTACCTCAGTTAGCATGCAGATAAATTAAGCAGCTGCTGGTCTAAAGGATTTAACAAGGGGAATTCTAATTTCTGGAATCCTCTGCGTCCCCCGATTTAGCAATATTAGGAACCAAAAAGGCCCTCTTCGCCTGCCAGCCAGACTCCTAACTTTCTATAAATGCAAACAGGAAGCCGTTCACTCCTGGGTCCTGGCCTCTGCGTCTTGCCAGGGGCAGGAGGCAGGCCAGTGTAGTGCAAGAGGAAGTACCCTGAGCATAGCAGCTGCACCCGGGAATTCCCTGCCTCTGCCATCGAGTGGGCTTCCCCCAGCACCCTGGCCTAGAAGGAGGGAGTCATTTCAGCGGGAAACATTTTCCAACAGTAAAGATAATAGCCCAGTAGCCTCACAGCCATTACAAGAGCTGGTCACGTGGCTGGAGTCGCTGTGTGCGGGCAGGTTGAAAGCATCTCTTAGCAGGTGGATTAATGATGAGGAGCCTTTTCCCATCCGTTCCTCCAGCACTGAAAACGCAGCCAATATAATACTGGTGTGGAGAGGGGGCGAGAAGCCCTTGTGGACGCAGGGCAAGAAGTCAGGCTGACTTCCCGCACTTGACCACTAGGCTGGGTGCCCCACGGGGTCAGCGCTCTTCCAGGCCACCAGGGACAGCCCCCACTTCCAGAGGCCCTATCACTTTACCAGGTTCTACCCAACCTGAACTGTGGAGAGGGTGGGGTGAGGCCACGGTGCGAACCACAGCCCCAGACCTGAGGCGGGACAGTGAGGCCTCGCCCCTTCCCGGGTGTACTCCTCCAGCCTCGCTCACTGCACATACACGCCCATAACCAACCCCCGCAAAAAAAAACCCCAAAAACATACACACATCCTCTCAAACTTTAATGCATCTCAGAATCACCTGGGAACGCCCAATGCAGACTCCAAGGCTCCCCTCCAGAGCCCCTGCTTCACTGGGCGCGGGCCCGGGAATCTGCATTGGCACAAGCTCCCCAGGAGGGTCCGACGCAGGTGGCCCGCGGGCCACACTTGGAGAAGCACTGTTGCCGGGACTTGCCGGGCCTCTCAGACTCTGCGTCTCGGTTCCCTCCCTCCTCCCCGGGGCCCCAGACTCCACCCACGTCCCACAGCGCGCCCCCACCCAAACATAAAGAAACGGGGTGAGGAGTGGGGTCGGGGGGCGCCGTCCCAACCCCAGAAGCAACTCCCCGGCGGCCGCGGGCGCAGGGC